GCTGCCGGGGGGAGAGGCTGCCCGGCGCTGCCCGGCCCCTCGCCGCTCGCCGCAGACCCGCGCACGCACAGGGGCAGCCGGGCGCTTGAGCCATGATTGCCGCGGCTTTCCTGGTCCTGCTGAGACCCTACAGCATCCAGTGCGCCCTCTTCTTGCTCCTGCTGCTGCTGGGGACCATTGCCACGATTTTATTCTTCTGCTGTTGGCACCGCAGGCTCCAGAAAGGGAGGCATCCCATCAAATCCGTCTTTTCAGGTCGCTCAAGGAGCCGAGGTAAGAGACGCTGTCGGTCCCTGAGGGCGGAGGGGGGTGTCCCCGGCCCATCCCCAGGTTTCTGCCGGCGGAGGGCCTCTCTGGCACGGTTTAGCCGGGCAAAGGCTTTAAAGAAAATTCAAGCCGAGCCCAGGACTGCGGCAGCCTTGTCTCCACCCATCCCTCAGAGAAACCACGGCTAGAGGGAGAGAGGTGAGAGGCTGGGAAACCCCCCAGCCCTCCCCGGTCTGTCAAAGCGCAGCAGAACTTTACGCTGAACTTCTTCCCGATGAATTAAATATAAATGCCGGGCGGAGCTGCCGGCTGTGCCCGAAGGGCCAGAGCCGTCCCGGAGCGTGAGCCAAAGGGCGAGTGGCGGGGTAAACCCGCTAGCCGGGGCGAAATGCGAGGGGCAGCTAGTGGAGCCTGTGTGTCTTTCTGCTTCCCTTCCAGATGCTGTCATGAGAACTCATCACTTTCGCTCTGAGGTAATTTATTTAGCACGCAATTTCAAGGTCAGAAGTTGTTCTCTTTACCCGAGTACATATTGTCGTGGTCTTTTGTTAATGAAATCATATAGCGAACTTTTCATTTTGCATGAAAGACATAATGTCCTCTTTCATTTCTTGGTTCGGTTTTTTTCCCTTCCCAACACAAAATGAGCTCTTCATCTGTGTTACCCTAACCGGCCTGCCGATTTGTGTCATTCCCAAAGGAATTGGTTACTTGGAGAAAAGCTGTGCTTACTGTACGTGCCAGACCTCCCTGTGCCCAAAAGCAGCCCTGAGCCCAGTTCCTGACCTCGCTGGAAATACGGGCAGAGCTGATCGCTTTTGTGACTGCAGAGCCTCTGCTCGCTTACTTTGCCCACAGCCCTCACCTGCGCCCTGCTCCTTGTCAGGGAAGTTGCCTGCTTGGCTTGGATGTTGCCGCGGGAGATCCCAGAAGGATCCAGACTACAAACCTGCTTGGCAGGCACCTCGGTGTGTGACTTTGTATTTGGAGGTCAGGGAAATCAAAACTCTTACATGCCAGTGCTGAAAGTATAACACAAACCCCAGTCACCTCCTAGGGATTCTGAATGATGAGCATAATTGCTGGAAAAATATGAAAAATAATATTTGTTTTAGTACCCACTTTGTTTCCATGCTGCCCTGTAGAGCTCTTGTCTAGATATTTCTCTTGCCTGGTTTCCTGCTATTGATTTAAGGCATATTTTCATGCCATTGCCTATTATTCTGAAAGCCTTGAGAGACAGCGTTGCACACAAAGCGATATTTTGTTTTAAATTATTTGCATTTTCCCTTACCCTGCTGTGGGTGTGAAAATTAGCCAATTATGACTAATGTTTTCAAAAGTGTGCATGGGATACATTTTTGCAACATGGTTCATGTTGGCAATTGGTTTTAAATTCTTAACTATTTTGAAATTTGTACGCACTATCACAAAAAAGATGCTACAGGGAGTGTCCTATCTTTAAACCATGAAAAGCCTGAGTTTGTTGTTCACCAGTGCTTCAGTAAAGTGAACAAACAAATGTGTCTCTCTGGAAATCAAAAGATGTTTTCACTATTTGGTTTATCTAATATGAAATGCTTGGTTTCCATGCAAAATTCACTCAGTCCTAGATGGAGAAGTGTAATGTTTTGAAATACGTGCCATCCTGCATGGTGACACTTCAGAGGGAAGCTGGCAGAGTAATTTATTTTTATTGCTTCCGCATGTGGTTATTTGTTTATCATCCAGTCAGAAGTAGACAAATTTAAAATATTTCCTAGAATCTTCCATTAAATGAAACATGCTAGAGTAACTGTTATATTCTTTCATCATTTTCTGTATTTTGTTTAGATGTAGTAATACTGCAGCTAGTGGTCTAAACTGCCCTTTTAAATAAGTGGTAAAACTGTTTTCCCCTTCATTATCTGATGAGACTTTTGATAGAGAAACGATGACTCATTTGACATCATTAAATTTTCATTTTCCAATATTTTTTAAAGTAAAATGTCATTTTAATGAATCTAATAAAATTCATTAACGAAAAAACTACCGGCATACTTCCAATAAAAATATTGGAAACATTATCTGAAGCAGAATTTGACATTCTCTGTCTATATCCTCACAAAACATTATGTACTTCTAACTGCAACATGATGTTGATGAAAGCAAAGCAGGATACATGAAAATATGGGCTTTGCAAAATCCCTCCACCTCCAAAATTAATGTAATATCTCCAAGTTTTATAGCACAAGGTACATCTGCTAGCTTCCACCATGCTTAGTTGTTTGTCGGGTGTAGTTATAAATAGTGTTTCTTAATTATAATAAAAGATAATGAAAAATAGGTTGATAGTAAATAGCAGTGGGTTGGCATTCATCTCCTGAGAGCTGGGTTCAAATCTGACTTCCATCACATGTGAACGTGCAGGTGGTCTAGCAGCAGTGCACAGAGAATTATAATTGCCCTATCTACAGAGCGTTGGCAATTCCTGCATGATTGACTGCCTGCCAGGAAAGCCTTATATTTGGAAAAATAGATGTGTGCAAATTTATGTTGAGATTCTTTGCCACAGCTCTCATGGTGCATGCCTTCATTGTCTATATACAGTGAGAACTATTGAATCCTTTTCCTTTAATGCTGAACCACACAATAAAAAATAAGACTGCATACTATGGAAGGGTAGATACAAAATTTGAAAATGTATTTATGGTCCTTTTCAGCCCTTTTGTTTTGAATTTTATATGCCACTGGTGAATTGAATCCACAAATAGTTCATTTTTGTGGGCCTTGATTTTTAATGTCTCTGCAAAATATGCCTCATTATGATACATCAAAAGTCTACATAGATATTACTTATTATAGAATGAACTTAAACACATGACCCCCTGCCTCAAAAGGAGGTAAATTTGCATGAATCATTATGAATATAAAGTAGGCTAAAGTCTGCCTTTGTTACAGATTCTTAATAACAGAAAAAATTAACCAGGAAGATGTGAGAGTTTATTGAGATAATACAGTGATGTCTCTACCTCCCTACTAACACTTGCTACCATCTGAAGTTTATCAGGCCTAATTTTTAATATATTTTTTATTGCAGTCCTCAGGTTCATTATAACTGCTCCTAAGAGTCTTCCATCCCCCAGGTACTATGGAAATTCTATGAAGCCACAAAGGAATCACACCCAGAATAGTTAATGTTCCTAATCTCAGGAAGACCTAGATATGCCACTGCTTTAAAAAGAAAACAAGTAAATTTCCAACAGAAATATTCATTGCAACATGACACATCAGACTTTGATGTAGTTGTTTGCACTAGTCTGTCTTTACTTTGAGAATTGGCTGGAGAATGAAATATCTATGCTGAACCAAAGCCACACCAAAATAATAATATAACTCAGTGAGAGTTTTACCAAAGTAGGGACTATGCTCCATTGTTGGGCCTTTTAGTATTAGTATTTATTAAAATTAAAATTATTCTTGAGAAAATACAAAGACTATCAATGATTCACTAATTTTATTCTTGTGCTTTTTGTAGAAGTTGTTTTTTTTCATGAAGTTGAGGAATTTTCTCTGAGTACTTTGTGGGCTTGGGCTTGATACATTTCAGTGGTTATCATTTTATGCTTTAGAAAGAGGCCTGAAAATCTCCTGTACCTTTCAATTTCAAAGCACTGCTTAATGTGTTGGTGTTGCCACTTCTTGTGATTTAAATTTCTCTCTGAATTAGTTTTCCTCATAGTTGAAGCCTCTGGAGTCATTGGATTAAGTGAGATTTTTACCTTTCAATTAAAAGAGAAGCAAGCTTCTAGCCCTTAGGCTGGAAAGAATTAATCTGAACAGTATAATTCTTAATATCTTTTGATTTGGTGGTAAGAACTGTTGAAAAGGAAGGTTCTCATTCAGGATCTGTAAATGGTTGTGTTTTATGAGATTGTGAAGGATTAGTTGTGCTAACTGCTAAAGTAGCAGTTTTCATATTATTGAGGAAAAATTACCAGATTTATAAATATTTTCCTGAAATTTTCTCTGAGCTTCACAGTTTTTCTTTATCTTAACTTTTAAGTATGTTAGAGATATTATGACCTCAGGAGCTGAAGGTATCGGTGGCAGTGGGTAGTGACAAGCAACATAGTATCACTTTGTTTTTATTTAATTTTCACTCACATATTTTGGGCAAATTTGCTGTGACTGCTTCCAATGAGACTTACAGGTCTAAAACTACTAGGCAACAAATCAGTACAAGTTTTACAGTCCACTGTGAATTCTGACTTCACATAACCCAGGTAGGACTAAACACACCAGTAAGACAAATAGGAGTTGACACTTTGTGAAAAGACTCTCTGGGAGGGGCTGGCAGTGTGTGTTAACCACGTCTGTAGCAAAGGAATAACATTTGGTGGTTTGAGTTTTGCAAACCCCACATTTTCATTTTAGTACCCTGAACAGTTGCTATAAGGTTGTAAATATCCAGTCTATTTCAATATTTTTATTGATAACATGGGTATTGAGTCTTTCATTAGTAAATTTGCAGACACGTGTTGGTCTGTTGGAAGGGAGGAGGGCTCTGCAAAGAGACCTGGAATGGTTGGATGGATGGGCAGAGTCCAATAAGTAGAAGTTTAACAAGCCCAAGTGCCGAGTCCTGCATTTTGGCCACAATAACCCCCTGCAATGTTTTAGGGGCCGTGTGGCTGGACAGTGCCCAGGCAGAAAGGGACCTGGGGGTACTGGTGCGAGGTGGCTGGACATGAGCCAGCAGTGTGCCCTGGTAGCCAAGAGGGCCAATGGCCCCTGGCCTGTATCAGGAGTAGTGTGGCCAGCAGGAGCAGGGAGGTCATTGTTCCCCTGTGCTCAGCACTGGTGAGGTCACATCTGAGTTCTGTGTCCAGTTCTGGCACCTCAGCTCAGGAAGGACCTTGAGATGCTTGAGCACATCCAGAGGAGGCAGCAAGGCTGGTGAGGGGCTGGGAACACAAGCCCTGTGAGGAACAGCTGCGGGAGCTGGGGTTGTTTGTCCTGGAGAAAAGAAGACTCAGAGGTGACCTTTTCACTCTCTACAGCTCCCTGAAAGGTGGTTGTAGACAGGTGGGAGTCGGTCTTTTTCTCCAGGCAGTAGCTGACAGAATGAGAGGACACAGCCTTAAGCTGTGCCAAGGGAAATATAGGTTGGATATTAGGAAAAAGAATTCACAGAAAAAGTGAAAAAGTACTGGAACTGTCTGCCCTGGAATGTGGTGGAGTCCCCATCCCTGGATGTTTTTTAAAAAAGACTGGATGTAGCATTTGGTGCCATGGTTTAGTTGAGGTTAGGGCATGGGTTGGACTCAATGATCTTGAAAGTCTCTTCCAGCCCAGTGGATGGACTAACAGTTCATCCAAGACTGATGACATTTTTTTAAGAGCAAATGGATTTTCTAAATCATCCATTATGGATATGCAAAACTATAGTACAACAATCCCCAGGAAATGTATGTATTACTTTGGCAACACG